TTTTCAATGCTGATTGTGATCAAGCAAGTAAGTGCACATCGTGTTTTCTTTCTTTTTTTTTTATTTGAAGTAAGTGAAGAGAATCATGGCTTATTTTCATAAGATTGATTTTTTTTTAAAGTCTTTTACTCAATTCTTTATTTTACATTTTCTAGCTGAAAGAGACTCCTATGCAGTGGAAATTATCTTCTATCGCCTTACAACTGCTACGGTATAATTCACTTCTGATATTTTGTTTACTATATAATGATTTATTAAAGAGTTTGTCTAGGATCCGCTAAGCTCAGAAACCTCGACGCTTCTAAAGATGCTCATGGGTTCAAAGTTTACCAGTCCCCTAACCCCCACCCAAAGGGCAATTTAGGGGAAAAGTGCAATTTATTTTAAGTACTTTGACCATCTTTAGAAACATTTTTTTTTCTTCTTTCCTCATGTTTTAACAATACTGTATCTATATATGAAAAAGGATAAGGATATTTAGAAATGTTTTTTCCTGTAATAAATATGTATGAGGTGTGTTCAATTAGTAATGCGAAAGGTTGTCAAAAATTAAGTAAAACATGAAAAGCAATTTCTATCTTTCAAAATCATATACATTCATATGAGTTCTTCAGTGATTTTTGTAATGATGCAGTTTTCATGTAAGCCCCATTTTCATCTTTTTGACAAAGACTATTTTTAAAAATAATTTTCAGCTCAGTAAAGTGACCATGCTTACTTTAAAAGTGAATTTCTTTGTGAAGACAGTAGAAAAAAGCATGGAGTTTTTGGTTACACTCATTAGGAGTTCAAAAGAGGAACTTTTTGACTGTAAAAAATGAAATAAACTGTTTCCTCATTTATCATGATAGACCAAATGTTGCATTTCTAGTTGAATGATCCCCATTTATGCAGATCAAAAGCACAAAAAAATGAATTTGGAAATCTCAAAAGCTATTTTGACTTTTTCTTTGAAATGACTTGGGTACTCTGACATAGTCACCACTGTTTGTTATGTTAATACAATACAGTCAAACCTCGTTATCTCAAACTCAGACCAAGAAAAAAAATTAGGGATATCTTAGGGTTCAAGATATTGAGGGTAAAATACTTAAAGAACGAGCACACCAGGGACTTCAAAATCACTTTGACATATCCATGGTATATGAGATATCAGTATTTGAGATGCTGAAGTTCAGTTGTATTTAATGAAGTGGTCATTATGAGAGAGAGAAAGATATTATAGTGTACATTTACTAAAATGGTGGTACCTATGATTATTTAGTTAATTACAATCCATTGTAGTGGACAGCACAAAGCATGGAGACAACATTTGCTGGAACAGTAGCTGCTGCGGCCAATACATACTGTGAATCAAATGTAGCAGCATGTGGTTTAACAACGTGCTGCACCTCAGTGTAAGTTCCTAAAATCAGGGAATTAATTAATCATCCTGTTTGTCCTGTTATCTCCATGAATGCAGGTATCTGTACCATATATGTATACAGTAAAACTCATTTAGTATGAAAAAGAGAAAATCGCAAATTTACAGAAAAAGGGAAGTTTATGAGATCCCTAGCAAAATTCCAAACAATTTCTTGTAAAATTAAAATTATTTTGGTAATAAAGAACAAATTCTGATTATAGTGAAATGATTTTTTGTCCTTTAGAGGTTAAAAGTAACATGCATATTTTATAAAAATTATATTAAAGATCTAAAAAATTTAAAATATTGAACTGACATTATTCTTTGTACGTATTTATATTTGAAATTTAACTCATGAAGAAAACTTTAGTTTTCAAGGTTCATTTTGTATGTATAATTCCCTGAATTTAATCTGGAGTCATATGAAAAGGAAATGGTATTTGCAAATTAGCTAAATAATTATGTTAATAATCTGTATTTTCAAAAAGTTTCAAGGATTAAACTTTTTTCTTTAATCCAAAGAAATAGGGAGCATCGGACACCATGTCAGGGAGATCTTTATTAAGCACATGTATAAACACAGTTGTTCAATAAGTATATTATATAATAAGGTATAATTTACATCTCCCCATACATGTGATAAGTCAAAGACCACAAAACTGTACAGGAGCCATAAAAAAAACTGGAATTTGGATGAAAAAACTGTACACTGCCTATCAAAAAACGGTACAAAAAAATGGTATAAAATATCGCTTAAATTCTTCTGAAATTCCATCGTAATCATTGTAATAAACATCGTATATTTTATACCTACGAAGATCTGGGTCAGATTCACGTATATTAACAAAGACTAAAGTCATGTATATCAACTTTAGAAGTTGGCTTAATTTTTTCAATCAAGTTACGTATGCGAAACATTAACAGTAATTAAGTACCCCTTAAAAAATAAAGCTACCTAAAGGGGTATTTGATACGGATTTATAGCAAGATAATTATCCCAATTGGCAGTTCACACCTTCGCACGCGATGGACAATTATCAGAAGGTCAAGTGTCAAACACAGGTGACGTTTTCCAGTGTCTCGCGAGCGAGAATGAGAGGAAAATGGCAGCATTTAGCGAGAAATTCAAAATACTGTACAAATTTTCATATTCCGTGAATTTTGGTGTCCCGCCAGTACACGATGAATGGGCTCAAAAAACTGTATATTTTGCGTACAGCCTGTACATATCACATGTATGTCTCCCCTTACAAAGAATAAAAAAAATATCATGTACCTCAACAACAGGAGATCAGTATATTACCAAGTATTCAGCATTCAGAATTTGGCAATATATCTTAAATTGCACCTATAAACATTGACATGACTGAAATGTTTACCAATCATACAGATATTTGATAAATGTAATCATAAATACATTTTTATTTTTACAGTTCTATCAGCTTTAAGGAGACAGAAGTTGGGAAAGTCAGTGGTTACCCACAGAAAGACTTGAAAAATCTGAAACACAAATTTTACCTTGATTTTCCTACTGGTGCTACTGCTTCAAATTCATCTGTAACACAATATGTTGTTGTGAATTCAGCTGTGTATGGTATGTATACAATGTTTAGGTCTATTAATCTTATTATAAATGAAATATACTATGCTATCCCACGACCTCAGTCAGGTTTCCATCACTGTGTATAAAATAATTCTGGGTTCCTATAAATTTATTTATCAGACATGCAGTATTCCAAATTGGCCATCATAATATAACAACAGTGAAACAAGTTAGTACTGCTTTAAAGTTAAAATGTACTTAAGAGGAAAAAAAAAGTTTAGATGAACTCTTCCAGATTCATTCTTCATGAACATGAACAAGGCTATAATTCTTTATTAATATTATGCAATCATTAATTAATTAAAATTGTTAGGATTCAGTTTTGGATCAATAAGGGGTTTAATTTAATGTTTTGTTAATCAGTATAAAGTTACAGAAAGTTGCCTGAGACAAACATTTTGGTACTATTTAGGACTCTTGTTACATTAGTAATAGCTATACATTTATAGGCTTTAAATGATTTTTATTTCAGAAAATGACATGGAATAATAATCAAGGGTTGATGTTAAAATAATAAAAGAAAAATTTGAGTACACAATTTACTTAGAAAAAAAATCCTGAATGAGATGCAAATTTTTAATCCTTTGTGTTTAGAAATCCTACGACTTGCACGGGAAACTTTCCACACCCAGACTGGTTATTGGATCACATGGGCAGATGAAACATACTATGGTATCCCAGCAGCAACCAAGGAGAACCAAATCATCATTCCTATAGCAGTTGTTGTTTTGTTAGCCGTCATATTTTTAGCAATTGGACTTCATTTCTGGAAGTAAGTAATTGTATGAAACATATGGTATATTTCATTTTTAGCTCACCTAAGCTGAAAGCTCAAGTGAGCTTTTCTGATCTCCTGTTGCCTGGCATCCATCTGTCTTTCTAGCTGTCTGTCTGTCTAAATTCCATCTGTAAGCTTTTCACATTTTGACTTCTTATTGAGAACCACTGGGTTAATTTTAACTAAAGTTGGCATAAAGTATTCTTGAGTAAAGTGGATTCCAAGTTCTTTTAAAATGCAGGGCCAATTCCCATTTCCAAGGGGAGATAATTTAGAAAAGGAGAAATAGGTAGGGGTCATTAAAAATCTCAAGAACACTGGGCCAAAAAAGATGAAACCTATTTGAAAGCTTCATGAGGTAATGTAAATTTTAAATTGTTCAAATCATGGCCCAAGAGGGTAAGACGGGGATACAGCAGGGATTAAAGTTTTACATTGGAATATATAGGGACAATTTTTTTTTTTTTATCGTTTTTCTTAAGAACCAGTGCACATGAAAAGATGAAACTTATGTGAAAGCTTCCAGACAGACTGTAGATTCTAAATTGTTCAAAGCATGGCCCCACAGGGTAGGGTGGGGCTACAATAGGGAATCAAAGTTTTACATTGAAATGAATAGGAATTTTTTATTTTTATTTTTTTAAAATATTTATAGAGCCACTGGACCTGAAAAGATGAAACTAATACATGAAAGCTTCCTGATATTATGTAGATTCTAAATTGTTCAAAGCATGGCCCCTGGGGGTATCTTGGAGCCCCAATAGAGGATAAAAGTTTCACATTAGAATATATTGGAACAGATTTTTCAAAATAATCTTAAGAACAAAAAAAGAAAAAAAGATGACACTTAATGTGAAAGCTTCTTCACATAACAATAAAGATTCTAAATTGTTCAAGTAATGGTTCTGGGGTAGTGTGGGGCCACAATATGGGATCAAAGTTTCACAGTGGACTATATAAGAAAAAAAAAATTAAAAATTTTCTTAAGAACAACAATAGAAGTACCATAAATTTTAAAACATTTTCAAGTTGTATGGATTCAAATTTTTTTTTTTCAAGTTATGGAACCTCAGTTAGAGTTGGCGAAAATCAGGATCAAATGTTAAGTCATCCATGTGTACAGGAAAATAATTTTCTCCATAACTGCAAGGCCATTGTTAGTCATTTTGATATTGCAGCATCCTCATATTGTGTTGATTCAGGGTTGGGCCATAATATGGGGTCACAATTTTCCATAGGAATATAAAGGAGAAAAATAGGGCTAAAGTTTCTCAGGTGAGCGTGTTGTCCCATGGTCCTATCATTCTTCTGTTTTAACATATATTAGCTCTGTACTCCATGTTTGGCAAATTAAAAGAATCTAAACATTTACTTTAATACCTTAAATATACAGGGAAGGAGAATATTTTTTTTCATGATAATGATGAATGCAGGAGAACATAGGACTGCCTAAGTATGTGGTTTGATATGATTTTTTATCCAGTGAGTTGTGCTTTTTTTATCCCTGAGCCTTGGCAAGGGGATAAAAACTCATGTTTTACACAATTAGCTATTTCATGTTTTACACTGATTACTTAAGGAAAATTACACTGAATGTAAATATATATATTTAAATCCAGAACATCTGACTTGATCAAATTCATTGTGATGTCACAACCATGGATATGAAAATGATATCCTAGGAGCTATATCCACTGTATATTGGAGTAAACATGTGATAATTAAAAATTGGTATTTATATATCAATATATAAAATCCTTTCAGGGCTGTGATTAAATGCAGTGTGTTGGTTTGCACACAAGAAATAAATTTAAAAAGTTCTAAATTTTCTTATTCTTCTTAATTTTGAGCTTAATTAATTCTTAATAACCTAATGTCATCCACAGTAAGAAAAAACAAAATCAAGCCCGCCTAAGGAAGAGAATTGATGACAGGAAAGCAATGAAGAAAAATCAAGCAATGGTGCAGCCTACATATCGAGTGGATCCTGATATTAAAGACATTGATGATGATCACACAGAGAAGACGTAAGCTGGATACAACTGTTGGATCCACCTCTTGATTTCTATCTTCACCATTTTTTACTGTAGCATTAGTTTGCATTAATTCTCTACAGATAATTGCAGGGAGTCATTTGTTGGTATTTAAAAAAAAATACAGACACATTTCACAAATAACACGTACAAAAAGTACATAGCATAAATCATTAAATTTTTTTATTTTTTCAATTTTTCTTGTCATTCTTATGCACAAGTTTACAAATGCCCAACAATTGCAATGATTAAATTACATGTATATCATCACCTTGAAACTAATTATTAACCTCAACAAGTGAGAGCAGATTTCAATGAAATATTATATACTAAAAACTTTTTAGTAAAAAGAAAAAGCATGCCATGAGGCAATGCTATGTTTTTATTCCTGTTTACAACTATGAAATTTTGGGAGTGTGTTACATGTATGCACTCTCCATTCATCCAATTACTTATAACTTTGACATTTTTGTGAGAGAGCATATATTCTCTGTTCTCCTTTAATATCAGATATGTTTGGTTGTCATTGTCTAAATGCCCAGATAACTGCATGACATGCCAGATGCCCTGGATTGCCCTCATTTTGCTGGTTTTATACATCTAATCAGTTTAAATAGTAGGATCCAAATGATTTCTTAACAGTTTTATGCTAGCATGATACATCAAAAGCCCTCTGACTTGATTTTTCATCATCTGTTCCTTGTTCTACTGGGGTAATAATAAAAACTTGACTTTTATTTTCAGAGTTGAAGTTAACTCATGAAGGGATAAACAATGTCATGTAGTATTTCTTTTTAACAATTAAGATACTATATCTATTTTTTTTTTAAAAAGATAACAATTAAATTCTTCTCAATGAATCAGAGACTTACTCCATCTTTAATAATAAGTGAATATAACTATTTAATTACCTACTGCAGGTGTAAGTCTTAAAATTAGAAACTAATTTAGAATGACTTTTTCTTCCCTGTAGATTGAATGGGCCACATAGAATCAAATTAACACCTACTGTTCGGCAAGTAACTTACAAACACAGTCTTGTAGACAATAGTCAGCTCAATAATGTTAAAAATATATATGTGTCCTCTTTGCATGAGATATTTCTGTATTCAAATATTGCCGTGCAGATATCTTTACTGAGTAGCAAGCTAGAGGTTAAAGGTAATGATGTGATATAGTCTTTCATGCTTTCAACTTTTTTCTTTTCATATTCAGAATTTTTCAGCATAATTATCTACAAGAATGCTACAAAACATATCCACCTTTAGAATTTTTGAGATGGGTGTTTAGAATAAGATTTCACAAACTGATGATATTCTGAATAAATGTGGGTTTTTTAACCTTTAAATTACAAGTAATGAATTTTTTAATCATTTTTTAGTATTTTATTCAATTTTAATGTTTGTTGTTTTTTTTTGTTTTTTTTTTAATTAAGAACTTTTGTCACAGTTATCTTAAAACTGATGAAAGGTTTAGTACACGAATCTATAATCATGTTTCTTTTCAACCCAAAGGAATTATTTCAGACTAAAAACTCACTTTGAAATCACTATAGATAATCATTTTAAATCATTTTTCATCTAAACTGATTTTTCTGTTTGTTATTAAGTCATTTTATTGTACCTTCTGTAAAAATTGATACACATTTTAAAGAGTATTCATTGGCCCAATAGACTAAAGATGATACCATTGTAGAAAAGTACAATATCTGAAGCTGCTTTCATTTTTCTTTCTGCTTTTAAAAACTAATATTCTCACAGACATACCTCTACACAAAATAAACCAACTAGGTCTGTTATTTGAATTTTAGAAATTTTTGAAATATGAATGCTTCCCAAAGTATGTAGCCAGCTAGCTTACCAGATTTATACATTTACTGCTTCTTCTCAAAGTCTTCATTTGAATCAGTTTTTTAATCCTTTCCTTTACTGTTTAGGTAAAATAGTATTATCAGTTAACTTATCAAAGTTACTTCATTTTTTTCTGATTTTAGTTTTTTTTAATTCCCCAATTCAGCCAAATTATGTTTACATGTTGATTATTTGTAGAAATACATATGGCACGTCAAATTCGCAAAAATGAGCTAAGCCTGGTTTCACAGTTGATAAACTAGGTTTATCGACTGTAATATCAAGTTTACAGACCGTAATTTATAGTTAATTACGTTAATCCATAGTTCACATTACAAAAGCAACCTTAACGCCTTAATCAGTCTTTTAAAGTGAAAGTATACTTAACACTGAAAACAGTCATCTGCGATTGCAAAACATAGTTTATCTTATAAATTTGGTTTCATTTGTAAACTATGGTTACAGCTCTTAACCACACTTACGTGTTAATTATAGTTTACGGATTTCAACCATATTTAAGGCGCCGAGTTAACAAAATTGTAATGAACATCGTTGTACATTTGAAAAACACAGTTAAAAGACAGAATCTCTGATTTCATATTGGAGATGCACAATTTTCTGTGAAACTATATTTCACGACTCTAAACTATATTTTACAATCAAAACTATAGTTAACAATAGTTTGTTTGTAAAACATAGATACGGTTAATCCTATTACAGCATGAAAAGTTATTACCGTGCAACGATTATTTCCATTGGTTGTTAAAAATATTGTATTTGGTGATATTGTAAGTTAATTTTCTGTAAAAATGTATTTCTTATTTTAAAAAATAAAGAAAAATGCGAACGTGGTTTTTTATCAAATTTTTCTTCCTAAGCAATGAAAGAAATCGAATTTTTTTCTCCCTGAAGTCATTGCAATATTTTCCGTCGTTGATGAAACAAAGATGACTGAGCATTGCCGTTATCAAATAGTCCCTCAAAGCTTGACTTATTATTTAAGGTTAAGAAGAGAAACTTCTTCTGTTGATATGATGCAGGATTTGTTTTCTTTTTTTTTTCTTTTCTTTTTTTAGTATAAATATAGAACATGGGCAATGACACACATTTTGTATTGCCTCTCTCGATTGGTTCCAAGAAATTCTGAATTCAAAACTATTGTTAACAGTTAACACGTGTTTAGAATCATAAACCATATTTAACAACTCTTAGCTATAATTAACGTTTGTGACGTTAAACTATTATTTACAAATGTGAAAAATAGTTTATTTCTCAAAACTATAGTTTAAACTATAGTTTACTATCGTTAATTGTAGTTTACGTCTTTTAAATATAGTTTATGAGTATAAATAACAATTACATGTAATTATGGTTTACGACCGAAATCTATAATTAAAGAATGTAAAACTTAGTTTATCTGATGAAATATTGTTTCACATTTCGTGACATTAAGTTGAATAAATCTTAACTATAGGTTAACGAATGTGAATCATAGTTTATAAATGACAATCATGTTTATCTGCCAAATCTATTGTTAACGTTTATTTACAGAAAGAATCAACTCCGATTACGATTTATAAACTATTGTTTACAGCCGTTAAATAAAATGCGAAGACCACGAATGTGTGGTCATTCTCAAAAGTTTATTTAAACAATACAAATTATATGTATGAGCAGAGCTAACATGCATATCTGAAAACATAGATTGGATCAAGTGCCATGGAGGAGTGATTATCCCATGCCGACCCGTCACACCTGCCCTGTATTCTTTGTCATGATCGGGTAATCCGTAGACAATTCAGTGTGAAAACTTGTATTAAAAACATTAGTTTTACAGATGAAAAATATAGTGAACGAATTGTAAACTGTACATGTGCAATTTACGATTTGTAAACTAAAGTTTACAATATATAGTTTACAATCGATAAACCTATTTTATCAACTGTTAAACTATGTATATATAATTTTTGTGAATTAGACGTGCCATACGTACATTTTAACAGATTTCAAAAGTTTAAGATGATGTACTTCATGCGTTTAAAGTACTTTTTATTCAAATTCTATTTTACATCACTTGTACAAATGCACTCTTTCATCATTTCTGTCATCATGGTGTTTTGCACTACATTAACTGTGTGATTTTTTTTCAATTCTCTAGCCAGAAAGATTCCTCCAAAAAACCTAGGTAAGGGGTGTAGTAATATATGAATGCGTGTAGTATGACTATCTAATAGTTGATAGGAAAGTGCATGTTTTACAGGGTTTTTGAAAATTAATAGAAATCTCCAAAAACATTAAATCAATTGTTGTATACTATTGATGTATTTATTATTCACTGGAAAAAATTTAAATTAGAGATACAGTAGTTCAAAGGTATTTGACGTTTTAAACATTTTTTTTATAATAAAAAAAAGTCCCCTTACTATAATATAATTGTTTTTCATTATAAAGAAGAAGTTAAAAACATCAAGTACCTGTGCAGTAGTTCTCAAAATTGACACCACACAATGGAAAGTAAGAATGGAACTTTTTTTTCACTCACTTTTGGTACAAATGCAGTTGTGTCAATAATAAACAAAACACTTGTAGTTATATTTTATTACAATCTTGTGAGGTGGAAATTGGACTGCATGGGTGGGTGAAGATTTAAATCTTGCTGCATGCCTCCTTGGTGTTGTCTTCCCATCATTCCCATGCGTACATAGAAAAGAATTTCTTCATTAGAGCTATTAGAATCAACTCCATCATAATTGCACTTACTTTTTCCTTGTAATGTGATATATATACAATTGTTAATAATCACATGTTCTATATAATGTGTAGTTTAAACTACCTAAAAAATATGCACATGTCCATACTTCTGCATGCCAAAAATACTTAAAGAATTATCGCATAGGAATAACTGGAAAAACATAAAAATGGTCTGTACATTTTGTAGAAAATTGGTTTTAAGTTTGAGGATCGTGTTTAAGAAGTTGATTTTTGTTCACTTAGCATAAAGTCATGCTTGAATGTTTTTCTTCCCCATATGCAAGTAGTGAACTTCTAAGAAAATGTCAAATTGAAGTTGTATGTGAGTTATATAGAGACTACTTAGGACCTACCTTCATGTTATTTTAAAATCTCTTTCTCCTGAGCAGTTCTATCATCCCTTCCCCTCCGATTTAATGTTGTCCTAATTCTATGGAGCCCTGGCAATACATACATGTAGGCAACGTCATTCTATTGATATTATTTAATACCTTGGTGTATTGAAGAATTTTAAAATACCCTAGCCTATATTAAGAGTATTTCAAAATAACGAAGTATTTTAAAATTCAACGTATATATATTTTAAAATGTGTTTAAAGATGAATTTTAAATACCTTTGGTGCTTTTGGATTGAATATATCAGATTAACTCAAAGGAAATCTCTCATTGACCTTTACATTGTCTCGTTACGTCATTTTCACTTGTTAATTTAATGAATACTCTGTATATACTCTGGAAATATAGGACCTGATGTGTTTTCTTGCCAATGCTTTTATGCCCGAAAGAATTAAATCAAGACAAAGATATTAACCTTAATTTTCATTTGAAAATAGCCAATGAAATTATTTGATTTCTTCTTTTCAATTATGATAATAATGAATAAATAAAAAGTTTTAAACTTTAATGGAAAGTAGTAAAGTTTAAAATAATAGAAGAAAAATGGACGATTGAAAACTTTTGTTTGGATTTTGCAGGAAAGACTCCTTTCTCTAAAACTTGTTTTAGTATTTTAATTTTTCATGTCATTTTTTTCCTCAAATTTGTCTTTTCTCATCCTAATGCTAGGCATTTTACAGTTCGGACTTACTAGTATTCTTTTATATTGGTCTTATCCAGAAAAAAAAATATTTACAAGGAAATATAATTAATATAATGCTCCGTCTAGCTGTCTACGTAGATACCATCCGTATTTCTATTCGTCAGGCCTATTTTTTGCTTGTTTGTTTTGTTTTGTTTGTTTGTTTTGGTGAAATTACCGTTATTGACAACAAAACAAAAAAAACTCTATCAATAAAGCATCAATGACTCTGCTGTACATTGCTACCATAATCTTTTCTTGTAGTATCGTGTGCAAACTAAACCAACGCATGTCATTGTTTTGCAGTTATTGCAAGTTATCTCAAGCTTTTAGATGTTTTTATTTTTAATTTCAGCTTGGATACTTATTTCTGTCATTAGATATTTTATTTACTCTCAGGAAAGAGAAGATGTACACTGACAACTATCCAGTGAAACAAACAGAGGAGACGAACAAAAAGCACTTTGGTGGGGCTAGTGACACTGACTCCGCCATTAAAATGGACCACGAACCCGATTTTATGGACTCTCAAACAAACAACAAGAACCTACCTCCTCTTGACGTACAGGAAGAAAGTGAGAGAAAAAAGAAGAAAAAGAAGAAGGACAAGAAGAAGAAGCACCACGGAGATGGTTACGACAATCAGTCAGCCAACCTTTCCACAGAACTCTAAACTGATGAGTTTACCTACTATATCTACAACAGTTTTAGTCAACTATTTGGGAGTATTGACTTCTATACTCACGTATCATATGTTTCCATTCAAAATTAAGCAAAAAAAGAGATTCCACTGAATTGATATTTTCATTCTATTTAAGTGTTATTCGTATTCATTTTGTAAATTAGTGTGAAAAATATTTTTAAAAATAGTAGGTGTTTTGGAAAGTTAAAAGTTGGGAAGTCAACAGTTGTTAAGAATCATGTTCATTGTTCAGAATGACCTACAAGAATTCAGAATCAAAAAATAATTATTGGCATTTTAAGGTATTAACCTTTCATATTTTTATTCATATCCTGCTTTGAGGCCATCTGATATGGAAATCTATTGTCTCTGTGTTTGTATTTACAAGCACATGTATAGAGTTCTCAGCTGATACTTTTCACCCAAGTTCTATTAAGATTGCTGGTGAATGTTTAGTTTTGCTAAGAATGTTATTAAATGTATATTTTTATAAAAACTGGATCACTTTATGGGAAATTATCAATTTAGAAACATGTTGGATATATTTTTTAATCAAGTTGAATGTATAGCTGAGGATTGCCTAGCATGTTGTGAATGTTTCGTAGTCTCTAGTCAGTAATTTTATTTACAAATGAACTTTAATATCTCAAACATTGATATCCATGGGTACGTCGAAGTGAATTGGGAGCTTCAAAAAATTATGTTATTTAACCTCAATATTTCAAATACTCGGATATAACTTTTTTTTCTTTCTTGGCCCAATGAGTTCTAGATAATGAAGTTTTACTCTGTTGCAGAATTCAGAGGTAATTCTCCCAAATTAAGTATATTTCTTGTGTGTATGACATTTTAAATTGTGCATTAAATACACTTTATATGTTTACTTTTATTGCATAATATATATTTTTTTCTTCAGATATTGTCTATTTTGTTTGATTTTTTTTTTACAAAAATGCATTGTGCAAAATATTGTGTTAAAAATTATTTTGGTAATATTTTAAAGTTAAGTTTCTGCTTTTATAGTTCCTTCTCTATTTGTAAATGTATTTTTATGTTATTAATTTTGATAGAAATTATATATTTCATGAACACTTGATATTTGGTTGCACTTCTGTGATATGTTTTAAATTTTTCTAAGATAGTATTAAATTTTGTAACTGGGGTTGTGCTGTTCATTACTTGTGTACATGTATTGTAACGGTTTAAATGTTATGAATCATGTGTGTTCAGTGCGGAACTTTTATAAGGACTGCTTAACTTAAAGATGCAGTACTTAACCATGTTGTTAAGTGTCCTTTCTTCCTATTACATGTACAGTGTAGCAAGTACCGATAATATAGATTACAGACAGATTATTACAGATACTTAAATGAAGTTTTCCGTTTGGACAAAGTGGGTCTTTTATAATATGCATGAAAATGTTTTTGAAATGAAAGTAATCGATGTCAGTAGCTACATGTATTATAATACGGTTCAACTATTATAAGAATCCTGTTTAATATGAACTAAACTGGATAAATTAGGATTTCAAAAAAAAAAAGAGAGAGAGAGAGAGAGAGAGAGCACACAAGGGTCATCCTGATAGAAAACATCTCTTAAATGGATTAAGGACACGTTCAGCTTGTTTTAGCAAGACGTCAACATACTCATAAAATTGCCTTTTAATCAAATGTTGTTACAGTAGCATTTCTGGCCATTTTAAATAATGTTTTCTGAAACTATGAGAAATGTAGATTTTTGCTAACATCAATTATATAAATGGAAACAACTACTAGTATTGGACTGTTTGGGCTCTGATTATGTAATATAGTAAATGAGAAAATCAGTGCTTACAATGTATTTAAAAGGTCGTGAAAGACACAGTTTTAAGAGAAAACTTTGAAATATTGGTTACTCCCATTCCCTAACATCAGTTGATGGGCGTGACACCTATTATGTAGCAATAGTAAAGAAAATTAAGAAGGAAACAGACTACAGCTATACTGGATGTACTGAGGAATATTTTAATTATAACAGACCTTGTATTAGTGCACTTCAACATGAGGATGTTACGGAAATTCACATCCTTGTGAGACTCGTATTAACTGACATCAACATTTTAAATAAATATGAGCTTGTTCTATTTTTACTTTCAATGAAAAAATAAACAACTTATGTGTTGAAATATCTATCCCATGACAATCATTTGAAAGTTTTGAATTTATTTTCAAAGAGGGAGCAAGTGCGTTCTATATTGTAAGTTAAGCCTAATGTGTTTGAATAATCTGTACCTCCTACCTATAGCGTTTGTGGTGCTACTGCCAGTAACCTTCTTAATCACGTAAGTACCTCTCTCTCTCTCTCTCTCTCTCTCTCTCTCTCTCTCTCTCTCTCTGAAAACTATGCAAGAAAAGCATATAGGTTTAATTTACTATGTACACGCTGAAAAACTTGAAAAGAAGTCTAACTTTTGTACATCATATAAAAAGGTTGTATACATATTTGCACTTTTTACCAGTCTACATCTGGCACAATCTGAAAAGCCTTTATCTTAACTTCTAAATGGGGATCTTAAAGAAAGAGTTATGGAAGCAATTAAAAAGCGATTATTCAGAATGCATACGTAATTTCAATGTTAATCTTTTAGTAACTTTGAACATCAGTCAGTAAATTCAAAATGGTTTGATATTTGCTCAGTAGTTGCTGTATACAATTTCATTTATTTCATAATACTTGAATAAATCGAACTTGGAAAAGTATTTTTTAGTCTGGAGTAACAATGAAAAGACCACAATTTCATAACAATATCCATCTATAGGACATGAATAACCCCAAAGTTTCAATTGTATTGTTACATGAAAAGAAATGTATATAATATGATTAATAATCTTAACCTGAGCTAAATATCAAAATGAGGAATACGGAGGTCACGGTCATAGAGAAGGTCAAGATTAGAACAATATGACACAAATGCAGTGGAATAGCTGTCACCATATTGTATCAGTGAAGTTTGATGAAATTATCCTGAAGAATTTCTTTAAATTGAGCTAAATGTAGAATGGGCGATAGTGAAGTTAAGCTCATCGAGAAGGCTAATGATGAAATTATGATAAAATATGATGTAATGATGATTCGTGATACAGTTGAATTATAGGACTCGCAGATATGCACATGTATCAGTATATGGATTTTGATAAAAACAAAAGTTTGTTTTTTTAACTGAGCTAAACGCAAAGTGTGACCGACGGACAGAAGGATGGGCGGAAGACAAACATAACAAACACTATATACCTTGGGCTTATAAAATATTCCCATATTTGGATAATGAAATATGGAAATAACGAACAGTATTCAAGCTCAAAGTCCATTCAAAAAATACAAATCGGTAGCAAGGCAAACACGGACCTCCAAAAACATCAGAGGTAGGATCAGGTCAATGGAGGATTGAGCATCCCCTGCCAACCGGTCACAGCCGCCCTGTGCTCCTTGTCAGGATCGGGAAAAAACTGGAAAAATCCATAGACATTTCAGTGTGTAAATAATGTCCAAACAAATAGTATGAAAAATGTCAGACAGCATTTGACTTAATGATAGGAAGTATTTGCTGACAAGGTCATTGTATCGACCATAAAACTTGCGAAATGAAGGGTTGATATCCCTGTTTCATCAACTTATTTGTCAATAGTATGCCTCTTTTTGGAAATTATTCATACGTAGAGCATGCTCTTGCGTATCGAATCAACTGGGAGACAAAATTACATATGCAGGTGATAAGGGGATATTGCTACACAAGTAAGGAAAGTTGACGATTGAAAAATTGAAGTCATCACGTTTATCATAAAGCTTTGTTGTTAGGTTACAATTAATGTCTTTTTCAGGCATTTCGATAATTCAAACTCCCCATTAACTGTAAGTAAGACATCAACAAGAGACAGGTGTAGATTATAATGCATCTTGTATACAAATATTTTTTGGAGGATTAAAATTTAAATTAGTTAATAAAATTTGAAAAGAATCTGGTAATACAAATCTTTTTTGTTGTCAACTGACCCATCTAAGTTTAGAAACAACGAATCATAATTCATAGATCTAAAATTAGAAACCACTGTAGAGTGAGTCATGCTATATAGTGAGTCGTGTGAAGTTCAAGTACTTTTGATAGCTATTTATCACCGTACCTTTTCTAAAGGATAAAAAATACTTATTGTCTGTATTAATACAATTGCACATCTACATACGGAATCGTTTAGTGCCACTATGACACTTTTTTTTATTTTCCACGCTTTAATCTGTACAATTTGCACATTAATATGTAAAATTTACACTTTAATGTTAAAGTTTTACACTTTGCGAATTTTTCACTTTAGTCTGTAAAGTTTATATAATATTCTCTAAATTTTACACGCTAGTACAACTGTATATTTCACAGATTAAAATGTAAAATTTACAGATTAAAGAGTAAATTTTGCAGATTAATGTGTACATTTTATAAATTCATGTGTAAAATTTGCATGTAAAACATTTGAAACCAAAATGGACCTTTATGTATTTAAATCTTTTCTTTCTTTTTTTCATAAGGTACGCCATAGCTGTAAGCGATGACGATGTGGCACCATTCTTTCCTTTCATCAGGTTTTACATACGTATATTGTTAAAGAATACCTAAACAATGTCACATTTTATTTCTATTAATTTCTATCTCTATCTATCTATTTCTTTAAAAAGTACTAGTATGTGGAAAGAAATTTTATTTCAGCATATTTTTCAAAATTTTGTTGAATAATGAATATAAAGATTCTCAGTATTAATTTAGCCTCCATAAAGTAACATACAAACAGCGAATGATAAGACAGTCGAATCTGTTTGTCTTTGAACAGTGATACTGGAACACTTCCACCAGAGAGCTGTATATTTGGACAACTGCTGAATATTGCTGCTGTTCTAAGTACGTTTTTCTCAGTCGAACATGTTAAGTCAGAACAATGTATTGTAACGGTTAAATCTTATAATATTTAAATATTATCAATGTTAATATTGTGAAACACGATCCAAATCTTAAATGTGTACCAATTTACAACTAATATCTTTCAGAAAAAGCTTCACTGACTTTAGCAGTCAAATAAATTCTAGATAAGTTACCTTTAACTACATGTACTAAGTTTTCACTTTTTTTCACCCAAAGAAATGAATAAGTTTGTCCTACTCTTTGAAAAGTGTTGTTATCTTCCAAAGTGTTTGTAAATGTGAGCTAATGTCAAAAGAACTTAATTTTATAGGGTATGTCCAAGTAATCACAAAGTTATTGTAATATAATCTTTTTGTACGAAATATAGAGAAATTGCTGATTGTGCAAAAATAGAGATGACCGATGAAACAGTGTAAGCTATCTCCCCCCCCCCCCCTCCGATTTGAACAATAAAAATCTTTCTTTCTATTACCATCAATTACAAGTATACTTCAGGAGTACTGTACAACAGTTTATTCCAGAAGTGGTGTAAATCAGAGGTGGATACTTAAAAACTCAAAGGAACTTTTAGACAATTTGAAATCACAAAATTTTACCAAAATCAATAACATCAAAACGTACGACTTTTCAATACTTTATACAACCATTCCCCACCATCAATTAAAGTCCAAATTAAAGTTCCATTTTTATTGAAAAAGCAGCTGTCAATGATGTCAAAATTGACATCATTGACAGCTGCTTTTTCAATAAAAATGGAACTCGTCAATATACTTACCTTGTTATTGGTCATTTGCAAAATCATTTTGTTAAAAAACATTCAGATTGTATACACAAGTACTCTGAAGTTGATATTAAAAATATGCTTGAGTTTCTGATTGACAATATCTATGTAGTTTTTGAAGATCAGGTCTTCCAACAATCTGTTGGAATTTCCCAAAGATACCAATTGCGCCCGATACTAAGAGACCCATTTTTGGGTAATACATTATGTCTTATTATAATTTCATAATATGGCAAGCCCAAAAATGTTCACTTTTCATTTTTATATCAAAATAGCTAGATTTCTGTCTAGGAAGTGCGCCTTGATCCTCTCCTCCCAAGAGAAAGAGCTTCCCGTTCTTGCACCTACCTCAAATCCCCGAATTCCCAGTCATCGACTTCACAATAAGCCTACACATGAAAAGAAAGGAAAATACGCCACTGAATAAATAATGCATTTTGGAATCTGATAGTTGTTTAATATGATTTATTGCTCTTTCTAACATGTCGTTGCAACAACCTACAAATACCAATATTCATTTTTGGGTGTATATTGTGAAGTAAGATATTTGTACTGTCTTACTTTTCTTTCAGTTCTAGTCGTCATTTACCTGCGATATAAACAAATAGCTGCTTACATTTCCATCACCCGTTCGGCGACACCTTCTTCAAGAGCCAACATTGGTTTCTTCATACTCGGTCTTTTGTCTGGCTTTGGTTTGAGTATCGTAGGGAATTTCCAGGTGGGAAAACTCAATCAACCTTCGAAACGATTGCTAGAGACTATTAGAAAATCAGACAAAAAGCATTAATTCTTCTTGTGTTTTTTACTCTTTCTCAATACAATTAGGTCGAAAACTCAAAAGGGATTCACATATTTGGGGCAGTGCTTGCATTCATTGTTGGAGGTGCCTATTTCTTTACTCAGACGTATATTTCTTGGATTTTTCGAGATATCCCCGGATCATCAAGCACCAAACGTGTTACACGGCTCGTTATCTGTATATTGTATGCCTCTTTTGTCATCATAGGTAAAATTTGAGATTTTTTCCCTTTGTCAATCAGATATGCAAAGAAATAGTAATATCCTGATATCCTTTTAATGTACATGTATTCTAATCTTTTTTCTTTTCCCAAGGAATTGTTACTTTTGTCCTGAGTAAAAGTAAATTAGGAAAAGAGAAAATCTCTACCCGGCTATGGACATCAGACTACAAGGTTAGTATTTATTTCTTCAGCAAACTTTCAATGTGATTTTGTTCAGAAAATAACATGTTTAACGAAAAAAAAGTTTGTGTTGCAATGATTATGTTAAGTAATTTATAATTAATTGATAATACTCATTAGCTCATGTCGAGTTTTTGAGTTTCAAATAGGCTATTGAATATTCCAGGGTTATCCAGAACACGTTGTCTCTTCAGTAGTAGAGTGGTTGGGAAGTTTTCTTATTTGTGTTTTTGTTGCAACATTTATTCCTGAATTCAAACACCTGAGACTGGAAACAAAATGGCAACTAGAACTTGCCACTGGTGAGTTACAGCCGGTTGTATAAAGAAAACACCAGTAAACCACAAGAAGAATACAGAGGTCCTTCCCTCCAGAGATCCATCTTCGAACACAACAAATCATATCCACATGGCATATCACTAAACGTCCTACAGGTCCGTCTCCATAGGATGTTAACTACATGAACTACTGTGTACAAGTAATGTTACTACTGTGTACAAGTACTGTTCAGTGAGATACCGGTAGTTATATTTCAACTACATTTTCGCTAGAGTAATATTCTGTATCGCTCAATATGATGTTTAGTACCTGTGTGATGTTTTCAGTGGTACAACTATTTCAAGCATAACCTATGTCACGAAACTGCATGCTTTAAGATGAACATTCATTGGCGGTAACAGGCCTTTGTGTCTCAAATAGGCTTAGGTACTGCTATATGTGTTACTGAAACATTACTGATCGAAGTTTTTACATTTGACTTCATGGAATGGGAAGACTACTGAGAGGAATTATAATAATACTGGTCTACATGCAAAACGTACATGTATGTATGTTGTTGTTTTATAAATTTTGTACAAGTTTGTTTGCTTTCACAGGTTCCTCAATGGTTCGTATTCCTGCAACCTTCGTAAAAACGAAAAAAAATATTGCACAAGATTTCAAGCTTTAGCAACTCTTTTAAATGAAATGAAATTAATATTGATCCTACATATATGTGCATTATTCAAATAGACAAATTTTGCTAATTTTTTTTCTTTTTCTATTATTATTACCATTACTGAGTATTTCTTTTAAGTTTTACCACTTGATACTGCTTTCTTTGGTACGGAACGACCTTTCCTACTAAGTTAAAGTCTCTCACTTAATGTTATATTTAAAAAGTAGATGCCACCTTATACTAAAATTGTTTAGTAATATATACTCGATTAAACATGTATTATAATAAGAAATTAAATTATTGATTCAAAACATTTACATATCCATATTCTCGAGTTTCAATATAGTATGAATTTATTCCTAAGAAGAAAAAATTATTCATAAACTTCTTCAAGAAAGAAACTCTTGCTGTGGCTTTCAATTCAATATTTTGATGTAGCGACGACGCTTTATCAATTAACAATAGTTAATTTTATTCATGTGTCAACTCGATATATCACAGTGAACTCGAAATAAAAGACACAGGTGAGTCTGCCGCATCTGCTTCATACTTACAATGTAGATGTTTTATTGACTACTTTAATGGCCAACTTACAATTTAAGATTATATGACAAACAGTATGTCTTCAGCTTTTCCATCGTCCACTTTCTCTGTTTATGTAGTAATATTCTACAATCAACTGTATATGGTGTTTATGTCTCCTAACTGGTTCATTACTCAAGAGCATGTTTTGCTCAATACGATCAATTCTTAAACAGAGGAAGGCTACTGAAGAAGAAGTTGATGTAACAGGGTTTCAGCTATCAGACTAGTCAGTATTGGAAGACAGTAAATCCTATGGTCATTATAATGACCTTATTTGCAAATTAAATCATTGTTAGGTTATATTTTGACATGTTCCCTACCAATTGTTCGGTCGTTGTTTTTATGCAATATCGACGACGGATTACTCCGTTTATCTAGCTAATAAATACAGAAGGCTTAGAGAGGGTGACCCGTCGGCAGGAGGTGCTTACTCCTCTAGCTAATAATGTATGTGTACTTAAAAAAGCGGGCTTCATATCTTTGGCGCGGATAATGATGCGCTAATTCATGAATACCGCTAAATAATCATTTATAAATACAATATACGGAACGGACATGTGTAGCGCTAATTCATGATTACGCCAACAACTGCATATCCATTGATTGCGCTAAATTTTGAATATGCCAAATTATGTACAAGTACAGTAAATACAGAAGGCTCAGAGAGGGTGACCCGTCGGCGGGAGGTGTTAACTCCTCCAGCTAATAAATACAGAAGGCTCAAATGGGAGACCCGTCGGCAGGGGGCGCTTACTCCTCTTAAGTACCTTTTATTCTAAACGCTAGTGTGTCCAGGGGTCCCTGTTTTTCCCTTTTCACGTTTTGTATTCTTTACTGAGTCTATGAAATAATCTTCACCATTTACTTTCGTTTTTTTCCAATATCTGCTAAAAACTTGATTGAAAAGCGAACAGTATTCCTCCATGGCACCTGATCCCACCTCTGATGTTTTGGAGGTCCGTGTTTGCTCTGCTCCTATTTTGTATTGTTTAATGGACTTTTGAGCTTGAATACTGTTCGTTATTTCCATATATTTCATTCATGTTTTTGCTTTTGTATCAATAATGTTTAAAACATATCTCTACTAGAATTTTCTTTACAAGAAATTCATAAGAGATAATTTACATTGCGTATCATGGAGACGCACTAATGTAAACAAGACACTGATAACAATTTTTAAAGCCATACGTATAGGGAAGTTATGCACAGATCGACATTGTGTCAATAGTCAGGTAAAATTGTGTTTCTTTTAGTTGTTGTTGTGTTTTCTTAACTATCTTTAATACATTTAAGCTTAAACTCTGTTATTAATAACGCTGTATTAATAAAAATTACAGTGATGCTTTGGGCATCGTTCTCATAAAATTTGTCTGAATAGTTGCATGTTATGATAATTTTGAAGTCAGGTTTTGACTAATAGATTTATTACTTGTAGGTCAACATTTAAGTGAAGGTATTTTTTACACTTTCAATTGATTTCAGAAATTAACACTTTACACGATCGTTGAAGACAAATATTATATACATTGTAATTTGATAATTGGATTGTAAAAGCTGAGATATCAACATCTCTGCCGTACTGAATTTCACACCCTTATCTGTACCCCTTCTCGAACTTTATGTAATATACGTTATAAGTACGGGTTGATAATGATACACTCCCAGATTATATATAGATGTACAAAATAATGAAGATGGTCTATTACAGTGAGTCCTTCCAAATACAAATAAATTAAAAATATGTCTTATTAATTAATATTTCATTTATTTGGATAAGATATTCAATCGAAATTAAAAAAAAAAAAAAACTGGAGTTGATTTTTTTCCTTCGCGAAAATAACGAAACAAAATACAAGACTTAGCTCTTTAGGACACAAGATTTTATACATCAACTCGCTTCCAAAATCGCCCCAAAATTTTTATTATGGTACTACTTCATTAGTGAGTTGTTTTTTTTTTAACACGGCTAAACACAGTGGTTCGTTTTTACACAATTGAATACCGGTATGTCCAAACTATTCTATTAATTGCTGTTACATCTATATCCAAATGTTCAGGTTTCATTTTATTCTTTAAACAATATATATACGTATATATCGGATTTATATCATTTCTTCAACATAAACATATATGAATTTGACGAGTATGCAAGCTAACAATAATTTATCATTCAATCATTGTTGGTAGCATTATCGTACTAAGGTTTATATATAATCTTTGGCTAAGAATTATTCTTAGTTAGATAATTCTATCACACTTTTTGAACTAAGTACATATACATTGATAAATATAAATATACTTTGTCTTTAATAATACCATTTTTTACATAATATTTTCTTATATCAAGAGTCAATGAAATGTCATATTCTTTGAGATTTGAAGCACACAACAAACAAACACTCCGGGATCTTAAAACATTCCTGTAACGACCCACTGATCAGAAATTTTAAACTTAGTATTTTTTATATTTGAAATCCATTTTGTCAGAAATACGTACATCTGCCACTCATATTAAAAACGCCACCCTTTCGAAGACTGTGCTACCATGGCCTTTGCTTTGTGATGAAAAAGGTGAAGATAACGAACAGTGATCGATCTATAAAAAAATCTTGTATATTAATTATGATTACTTTATTCAATGTTGTCCCATTTGTAAACAATCCTAACTTTGACAACTCTTTCTTTATATTCAAAGTACAGCTATAGCATTATTTGAGATCATTTCATCATAGCAGGCTTTCAAGCTTGTCTATCCACCAATATATATATATATATATATATATATATATATATATATATATATATATATATATATATATATATATATATATATATATATATATATATATATATATATTTTTTTTTTTTTTTTTTTTTTTTTTTTTTTTTTTTTTTTTTTTTCAAGCATTGTGTATGAAAATAAAATCTCGGATAGTCAGGACTGTACTCTGTGTTTCTCAAGAGAAAAGTATATCTAATGTGACTAAATTCCATCTAAGGAAATTAGGGAAAATGTTCTAATGTGTCGCCCTTTTGTGGCCCCATGTACGATTTGAATCAAAATGAATGTTGGTTGTAAAACAAGCATCATTTAAAATTATTTATTGAAAACCATCACAATTTTAAATTTGCTTTGATCTTTTATATTAAAAAGGGGGCCACTGGTTACATAAGTATCAAGAAAGAAAACTGTATTTCAACATTTAAGACATGTTTTTTTTTTACTTGCATATATTAAAAATAAGGCTTTTTTGCCCTGATCTGCAGCATTTTTTTTTGTTTTTAAACATATACCATTATAATTGATTAAGTAAAAAAATAATTAAATTCATTAACAATATCTAACTCATTGTCTTACAACCATACAGCCAAAATTCTTTTATAAGTAATTAACATCTATTTCTAAATTTCTAGATTTACATCAACATTTCTAATTTCTTTAAAAAGACTGTAATTGTCCCCAGCTTTCACTGAAAATGATATTTTGAGGTCAAAAGGTAAAAGATCAAGGTAATAAATACATACGTTCTGTCTGTGTGTAACACTTTCGTTTCCGGACTATATCTCCAAAAGCCTTTGAGCATATGCAATGAAATTTTATACCACAACTCCCTATGGCGTAAAAAAGACCCCTGTTGCTTTTGAGGCAAGTAGGTCAAAGGTCATGAATTCATTCATTTGTGTGTAACACTTTCATTTCTGGGCAATATCTTTTTGGCAATAAGTTTTTGAACCTTTGCAATGAAATTTTATATCACAACTCTCTCCGTCTCGTAAAAAGCCCTTTTGATTTTGAGGTCAAAAGTTCAAAGTTTAAGATAAAAATCCATACATTACAAATAACATTTTCCTGATGTTAACTTGAGTTATAAAGAAGGCCTTTATCGATTTTGAGGTCAAAAGGTCAGAGGTCAAAGTCATAGATTCGTACATTCTGTTTTGTGTGTTACACTTTTGTTTCCGGACGATATCTTAAAAGGTCTTTGAGCCTTTTCAATGAAATCAAATATCACAACTCTTCATGGCCAAAAGAAGACCCCTTTTGATTTTGGGGTCACAAGGGCATAGGTCATAAATTTATAAATCGCAAATAATATTTTCCAGATGAAGACTTTACTTTTCTTTGAGCTCTTTCTGATATAATTTTTTATCACAAGTCCCTATGACCTAAAGAAGAACCCTATTGATTTTGCGGTCAAAAGGTCAGAGGTCAAGGTCATAAATTCATATTTTCTCTCTGTGAAATACTTTTTTCACTTTTCCCGAATTATATCTGAAAGAGACTTTGAGATTTTGCATTGAAATTTCATATCACAACTCTCAATGACCTTTACAACCATATTGATTTTGCGGTTAAAAGGAGGTTAAGGTCAGAAATATTGCATATATAGTTTTCAGATAATAATTTTTGTTTTCCTGTAAGGTATTGCAATGAAACCTTTGGTCATGAATTTTTTTAAGATTCTTATTGACCTTAAGGTCAAAAGCTGAAAAATAAAGGTTGACGTTTTTTTCTTTCTCCATCTGCATTTTATCTATTTCTTTCACCCTCTTTTTTCCCTTAAGCGGGACACGAATTCTCTGAATTAGCTTGTTGTTATTTAGTTGTATTGACCTTTAAATTACATGCAACAGAGTATTTACTAAATCTGTTTAACACATGATGTAAATCTCTGGGCTTTCATAAATAAGATCTAAATCATCTGCATAAAATAGTAAGAAAAGACTCATGTCCTGTAAGTCTAAGCTATGTCTCGTATAGAATTGGTTTCTTAGTCATTAACACACAATGAAAACAGCAGAGGAGATACAGGTTTCCCTTGCATTTAACCTACCACCCTTTAAGGCAGTGTCTAAAAAACCATTAAACTTTTCACATTTTACTTGTTATACAGAGATTTAAATATTATAAACATCTTTTATTTGTATGCCTAAATTTGATATTTCCCCATAGTTTCAAAAACATTTTTTGTAATTTTTTTAAAATTATTTTAAATTGGTTGTTCCATATATTCTTAATCAATGTTGGGCAAATGCATTCTTTTCTATGGTTTTTTCCTTGTAAATGTAACTAATATTAATATCACATCGTTTAAATTTATCCTATTTCTTTGTTTTCAGCAGGAATGTTTGTACACCTGTTGGAAAAACGTTCTATTTTTCAACTAATATTTTAAGATGTTCAGAGATAAACTGCACATTTTCCCGATATTCATCGTGATATATGTTCCTGCATCATTTTTCATTACGTACGTAAACATTTTCTAGTCCTTTTCCACTTTGGGGTTATTTGAATAAACCTATATTAAAAGTCCAAGAGAGTATTTAAATTGTATATTTATTTGGACAGAATGTAGAGATGTCTATATCTTTTTAATCTCAGGACTCTTTCAACCAAATTCGTTGAAATAAATTGTTACAGCAAGTTTTAAACAGAGAGTATGTAGACGAACAACAACTTTCGATCAAAAAAACTCTCCTAAAATTAGCATCATTTATTATTCGACAATAGGTATGGTATTGCCGTAGGTAATGGCCACGTTGTACCAGGATTTCCATATATTAGGTAAGCTTTGAAGCTACAATGGTTATTTCAATTGTAAAGTAATCTTACTATTCTAGGAATGTTTCAATATCATTCATTAGTTTCATTATATTGATGTTCGTCCCCAAGGATAATATATAGCATGTGTATTCATTCTCAATCTTACTAGTACCGTTCCTATATAAGATCAGAATCTAAAGATAACACTTAGAACTTTTTCTTCATCATCTCAAGTGACACTGGTACCAAGGAACCCGAAAGCTGTGTATTTGGACAACTCTTAAACATAGGAGCAGTCATTGGTAATTATAGGTTAAGTACTACGGGTTTGATATTAAAACGATGCCTGAGTTTCTCATTGACAATAACTATGTAGATTTTGGTGACCAAGTCTTCCATCAATCTGTTGGAATTTCCATGCGTTCTAATTTTGCTCCGTTATTAGAAGAGCTGTTTTTGTATTCAAATGAAGCAGAAATTATTCAAAAAAATTTACATGAAATTAAGAAGTCTCTTGCTGTGGCCTTTAATTTCGACATTAAGATATATCGTCGACATTTTATCAATTTACAATATTCAGTTCACTCCTACGTTGATTTGACCTATCCCATTGAACTCGAAATAAAAGACAACACAGAGTCTGTTTCATATTTGTATGTTTTACTACAGAATGACATTGATGGCGAACTGACGACTAAACTTTATGATAAAAGTGATGACTTCAACATTCCTATCGTTATGTAGATATATACCAATATCAGCTGCATATGGAGCTTATGTCTCTCAGTTGATTCGATACACAAGAGCATGTTCTATTTACGAACAATTTCTAAATCGAGGCAGTTTACTCCTCCATGGCACTTGATCCCATCTCTGTTGTCAGAAGCCCTTGTTGATTCTGCTTATAATTTGTATTGTATTGTGTAAATGGACTTTTGAGTTTGATCACTTTTCGTTATCTTACGCTTATTGACTGGGATTATTGGACAAATATTCAATGAGGCTCGTTTTCTTTGCAATAAAGAGTTCTCCTAAGGTATTTTTGATATTTTTTTGAATTATTTGTTCATGTTGTTAGATTATGGTTGATTTTATTTAATACTTCCAGCTTTGGTTGTATTTTATATACGTTATCAGCAAATAGCGACTTACCAAAGTGATTGCCCAGTCAGAAGAATAACAAAATGTAATAAAGCCGCATTGATACTGGGGTGGATTGCAGCGTTTGGAATTAGTCTTGTTGGAAACTTTCAGGTCCTGTAATATGATAAACTATTTAATATATATGATTTGTAAATTGCATTTTATAGCATAAAAGTGAAATATCCTATTTTGATATGTACTACATTTCTGTTCACTAAACCTAATAACCTTGAAATGGTATTTAGATTCTATTATTTTGAAAAATCATCATATTTTTTTTTCTATTGGATGGAAGATACTAGTATAAGTCAGAGTAGAAGTTATATATTTATTTATTTTAAATCATTTATGAATTTATTTATTTACTTATTAAAGGAGACGAACGTTTTGGTTGTGCATTTGATTGGTGCGTTTCTAGCCTTTTTCATAGGCTGGGTATACTGCTGTCTACAAACCTATCTTTCTTACAAGCTACCAGAGATACCAGGTTCCTCCAGAAATCTAAGATCAGCAAGATTCATTATCTGCGTTTTAACTTTCATCTTTATGATAGTCAGTATCCTTTGTGAATGATGATCGCAAAAGTTTTGCATGTCATTCCGAAAAAATAAGTTTACATCATACCCCTAGCTATCAGACTATTGATTAATCAGGAAACTTTAATTTTATTGCAACGATACAACTTTACGGCAGCCCATTTAGGACCTATCAAAAAATATTTTTGAATTCGATAATTCAAATTTGTTATAACGAATTTTATTCGTTATAACAATTTCTTTGAATTCGTTATAACGAATTTAATGTTTTATAACAATTTTGTTGTATTCGTTATAACGAATTCAAAAATTTGTTATAACAAATTAAATTTGTTTAAACGAATTCTAAAATTTGCTATAACAAATTATATTTGTTTTAAACAAATTCTTAAATTTGTTATAAGGAATTAAATTCGTTTAATCAAATTCAACAATAGGGGTCTGTAGAAAAAATATATATGAATTCGACATAACGATTTGTCGAATTCGTTTTAACGAATTAAATTCGTTATAACAAATTAAAGAATTGGTTTAAACAAATTGAATTCGTTATAACGAATTAAATCTGTTATAACAAATTTTGAATTCGTTATAACAATTTCAACAAATTTGTTATAACACATTTAATTCGTTATAACGAATTCAAAGAAATTGTTATAACGAATTAAATTGGTTAAAGCAAATTCAATAATTCGTTATATCGAATTCAAAAATAATTTTGATAGGTCCTAAATGGGCCTCCGTACAAGTTGCTGCTATTGGACAGAAATAATTGGAAAATTGCAGTTTGTTTGCTACATGTATAAATACGGTAGTTCATTACTTTTAGATTTTTGGTGTACCTTACATTTTGAGAAACCAGATCAAATTCGATAAATATATCTAATTTTTTCATAAAAAAAACATTAACCCAATCAATACATATTTACGGAAGCCCATTTAGGACCTATTAAAAATATTTTTGAATTCGATAGAACGAATTGTTGAATTTGTTATAACAAATTTAATTCGTTATAACAGTTTATTTGAATTCGTTATAACGAATTTAATCTGTTATAACAAATTTGTTGAATTCATTATAACGAATTCAAAAATTGGTTATAACGAATTAAATTCATTTAAACAAATTCTAAAATTTGTTATAACAAATTAAATTCGTTTAAACGAATTCTAAAATTTTTTTACAACGAATTAAATTCGTTTAATCAAATTCAACAATCAGGGCCTGTAGAAAAATATATATGAATTCGATATAACGATTTGTCGAATTCGTTCTAACAAATTTAATTCGTTATAACAAATTAAAGAATTCATTTTTACGAATTTAATTCGTTATAACAAGTTTTAGAATTCGTTATAACGAATTTAATTCGTTATAACAAATTTTTCAATTCGTTATAACGAATTCAACAAATTTGTTCTAACAGATGAAATTCGTTATAACGAATTCAAAGAAACTGTTATAACGAATTAAATTCGTTATAACAAATTTGACAATTCGTTATATCGAATTCAAAAATATTTTTTTATATGTCCTAAATGGGCTTCCGTACATATTGATTACATAAGATAAATTATATATATATATATATATATATATATATATATATATATATATATATATATATATATATATATATATATATATATATATATTGTACATTACATTTTAATTTTTCAGCTAATGTTTGAATGGCTAAAATTTCATGATCTGTAAAACTTTTTACCCTTGACAAATGTATAGTTTTAGTGGCAGGGAAGTTTGCAATGGAGGAAAATCCGCGGAAATCGGATAAAAAGATCCCTATAGGTCTGAGCCCGGGCGAAGCGGTAGGTCCCCCTTTTTGATTTATTAATTGCCAGAAAAAAATGATTTCTAAGAAAATATCAAGTGTCTTATTTTCGAACAAGATAGAATCTCTCGAGGCTTATGTATCAAACAAGGTTTACTTCCATTCCTGATGGATTTTACACCTATGGTGCAATGCCTTTTTTCTAAAGTACATATCATACTGTGACGAGTTTTTGCATTGTGGAAACATCTCTTTTTTGTCTGAATACATTAAAGTTCCTACAAAATAATATGGAAGTTATTAGCTAGTGGAAGTCCATTTTCGTAATAACTTAGGTTCCTCCTTACTAATCCCATCCCACCCTTAAAATTAAAATGAATAATAAAGTACATGTATAATTCTTTCTGTAGGGTTACCCAGCTTATCTGACATCAACTTTATCGGAGTGGATAATTGCGTTTTTAATTTGCATGTATGTGGCCACGTTTACTCCAGAATTTAAATATTTTGAAATGATTAAGCCTAAAATAACGTTCCGGCAGAAATGTGTTCTTTCTGGAATAGCACCAAGTCAGCAATCAAAGACAAACGAAGTAATGACGATAGAAAATGGTGGAGAAAGTGCCAAATATTAAACTGAATTATGTCTGTGATAAGCCTAAATGTGATATATAATGTAATATATTATTTTATGTGTTGGAATATGTTTTGTTGTCCATTAATGTTATCTTTGAATGACGTTATGAAAGTCTCATGCTTTCTCAGTATTTGATAATGCTCTAATTCAAGCAAAATTAAAACTAAATTTTGACCGTCTAATTGTTAGATTTACTTTGTAAAAACCAAATTCCTTTTCTTTCTTGAAACAGTAGCGCAGTTGAACATTCAGCATCATACGTCATTTATACCTCTACGTCAAACTCATTTCTGTGGTCTTTCTTGCCCTGCAAGATTCTATGCACTATATTGTGCTATGCTTTTGAGAATTTGGGGTCTCCCAATACAATAAATATTAGACTTCTGTGCCATATAAACGCTGCGTCTCAAACTGTAGTCAATTTTATTAGGAATAGCATTTGGACAAAATAATGTAGATTTTATTTACATGTTGTGCTTATAACAACATTAGTAAGGTAATTTTTATAGCAGGAAAAAATGCACATGGATGATGAAAAAAAAAAGTATTTTTTTAAAAAGTAGACATTTGATATGGTCTTGAGGATCACTGGTTTGGATTAGTCTTAGGAATATTAATGTTATACTGCATAATGATAGGTAATGTGTATACGCATTGATTTGAATGTAATTGTTCTAGTGCTATGCATTTTTCAATGGTCTTCCTTCATTTTGGATGACACAAAGTCTCATGATACAAAATTAACAAGTTAGCCATGAATGCACGTACAAATATATATATATTGTTGTTGATCGATTTACACTTAAAAAGTGGGAAAAACACTCTCAATATATATATATATATATATATATATATATATATATATATATATATATATATATATATATATATATATATATAAACTTTATATACACATGCATATGATATTGTTAACTCTGTATGGAAAGAAAATAATTGTGTGACATATCAATACTCTTAAAACCTCCATGTACACATTGAATGAAAATTATAGTGCTGGTTTTAAAACGAGCAACATTAAGTTCTCAACTGCAAAGTATCACAATTTTATTTGAGTTTTAATTTTATATCAAATAAGGGGCCAGATGAGGCCGTTACCATTCCATTCACCTTGAGTATGTGTTTTTTATTATGATCAGTAAAAGAAAACATCATTAAATCAATTGATTTTAGAGGCTCACATTTTTATGTTTCCATAAATGAATTTTTTTAATTAAAAAAACAGTAATGAGAACTTTATCTTTTATATCTTATTGGACGGGAAAAATGTCTTTTGGTGTATTCAGGAGCTATAATTCACACACACAGCATACTATGGAGACACAGCTATGTACACAAGGCACTGATAACAATTATATAGCTGTCAGCATGCATGTAAAGATTGGAATGGTGTCAGTTAAAAGGTAAACCTTTGTTTCTTTTTATTCTTACTGTGTGTGTGATGTACTTTGTATCCGGGTTTGTAGAAGTTCAATTTTTAGCTTTCTAACTGCCATTTTTCTAAAAAGTGAAACTTAATAATCACGAATTATCTACTGCTTGTAATTTTGCATTTTCAAATAGTTTCAAAACGATAAAAACGTAGTTATATATGTATATACTCCTACCTAATATTGACCCGTTGGACCATTAGAGATGATTCCAGAAAGAATATTGAAAAAATAAATGTGTTCAGTCTTCTATTGAAAAAAGTTTTATGATTACCATATAGGACAAGCATTATGAAAGTATTGCATTAGCAATACTAGTCCCCTACCGGCAAGTGTAAACTGGTTCCCGCTAAAAATAGAAAAGCCAAAATTTCGTCAAAAATCAATGTATCGGAACGAAATGCAAACTTCATCTATAACTAATCAAGGTAAAATCACATACCAAATATCAGCTCAATATCTGCAAGCGTTTAGAAAAAAAATTGTGGAAAACCCTGAAAAAATTGAAAAGGTCGTAATTCTGTCAAAAATCATTGAAGCAGAACGAAATGCAAACTTGATCTGTAACTCATCAAGATACACTCACATACCAAAAATCAGCTCAATATCTGCAAGCGTTTAGAAAAAAAGTGCGAAAAATCAAGTGGGACAGACTGACAGACAGAAAGATAGAAAGATAGACAGACAGACAGACTTACTGACAGACAGACAGACAGACGGACGGACAGACTCAGAGGAAACCTATAGTCCCCTCCGGTTTCACCGGTAGGGGACTAATGAGAAGCTAAATTGAAGTAAAGTTGATATTTTTTTCACAATATTTTTTTTTTCAGTGTTGCAAAACTTGAAGTATCGTGAATCGACTGTTAGGATTTTTGAGCACATTTGGTATAATTCTATCTTTATTTTACTTTTAAGTGGTTCTTGAAATCTAACAAAAACAATAGCGTTCTAAATTACAGTCTCTGTAGTATAAAAATGTTGGAGTGTCATTCTTCAAGTAAAGATTTTTTTTTTCATTAAAGGATTAATGTTTATTACACAGTTTTAAGACCTTTGGTTTGATCGAATAGACATCTATCTTATTATGTTTAAAAATATTTTTAACGGTTGTTATATGTTTTATTCTTATATAAATAAATGAATCCGGACGTATTTTATAGCGGTCTGTATTTCTTTCTTTACAACTGGTTATAAACTTCAAATTAAACATGTAACATTGTAAATACATATAGTGCTTAGTAGTTTTAAAAGTAGTAGTGCTAATTGTTTTTGCTTCTCTATTTCCTTTGTTTTTATGACTTCTTAACTTTTTTCTTTGTCCTGAGGAAGGGACAGGTCGTCCCGAAAATTTGACAATTATTATTGTTCGTGTCGTTGGTCATTTTTAGTGCTTTATATAAATTTCCATCCGTGACCTTGTATCTACTTAGTAGATCCGACACTTGGCATATACAGTGTTGTTGGTTTTTAGTGCTTTATATATATATATATATATATATATATATATATATATATATATATATATATATATATATATATATATATATATATATATATATATATATATATATATCATCAATAAATTTTTATTTGTTCATTATGCATGTTTTCATTAGCTATACCTGTAAACCCTCTGAAAGAGGAGCTGACGCTTAAACCATTATTCCAAGATGTTTAGAGATAATTTGCACATTTTCCCAGTATTCATCGTGATATACGTTCCTATCTCATTTTTCATTACGTGAGTAAACTGCAATAAAATATGATATGATTCAATTTTACAAAACAACTATACCCAGCTTCTCAATTTTAATTCCTTGCCTCATTTCAATTGCCACTCAGTTGACGTATTGCTTCTGTTTTCGTCCCTCGTCGAAAATGCGGTCGTAAATTTTCATCTTTTTCACTTGGCCTAATTATACCCATATACCATGGGTTAAGGGGAACAAAAATTCCAGGAGCAAAGAAGATTTTTGAATATTGCATTTCTTTTGATGGCTTTTGCCCCACTTCCTGGGCCCCAGGGGACCAGGGTAAAAAATTGGGAATGTTATGGTCCCTGCCCCAGGAACCTGATAATTGGGATCAAAACCATTAAAATCATTGCAATCTTCAAAACTATTCTATTTTGCTCTAGGACATCAGATGTCAAACTATCGTCATGATTATATTAAGCATTGAACCTTCTACCAACATTTTGAAATTCATGCCCCCAGGGTGTGAAGGGTTCTAATGTTATGACGGGGCTCAATTGATCTTATTATGAAAATGCATTATTTTTCTTTCTTTCTCCCCCTTAGATTTTGCAGACAGACGAAGTGCATGGTAATAATGATCAAGAGAGTCTCTTCAAAAAATGTCAATTTCATGATCTCTGGCTCCGGGGTTCTAGTATAGGTTGAGACTCTATTGTCACTGTGGTGAAAATGCTCTAATTCTTTAAAACTTCTCTCTCCTTCAGATTCTGCAGACAAACTAAGTGCATGGTTATAATGAGCAGGAATGCTTCTTCAAAAATTGTGAAATTCATTGCCCCAAGGTCAGGGGTTCCGGTTCCGGTGTTAGGGCGTGGCTCTACTGATCATATATTGAAAAATGCATTAATTCTTTTGAACTAAGTACATAATTATAATGAACAAGTGAGTTTTTATCAGATTTGTGAAACCCATAATCACTGGGTCGGGGGCTCTGGTGCTATGGCAGGTCTCCATCGATCATGTAGGGAATTTTTACTCTACATTGAGAGAAGTAATTCCCTTTGATTATTCACCTATGATAATAAATAACTCAGATGACCGTTAAGGCCCATGGGCCTCTTGTTGTGTCAAGTTACAGAATTATTTTCTTCCTTTTTATTGATTTATTTTGTATTATTTATTTAATTTTTCATTAATTTTTAAACAAAAAAAACCATTAAATAGCCTGTTAAATTGTTTTCATGTATTGAATAAAAAGAAAAATAGCCGATCTTTATAATAATTAAATGCATTATTATGTATTTATTTTCTGCGCTATACAATAGATATGGTATTGCTGTTGGAAATGGGGATGTTGCGCCAGGATTTCCTTATATCAGGTAGATATTTGATACGGAATATAACGAAATACAAATGAAAAAGATGAGTGTTATTTAGGCATTACTCTTGAGGGTCATTATTTAAATTACTTTACGAATTGTGTATTGATAATTGTTCTAAAACCATGCTATTGATACAGCTATAAAAATAGGGATAGTGTCAGTCCAAAAGAAAAAAAATCACATGCATCTGGAAAAAAAAAACAGGCCAGTGGGTCATAAGGTATGAGTAATATGATATTGCTCTATATTTTTAAAGAGCGTTCTTTGTCAAGGCTTGATTCAAAATTGTGACAGCATCTTTACTCTAGTGGTCATGACTTCACCAAATTTACACCGAATTTAATCTATTACATGGCGATGAATGTATATCATTATTGATATTATTATATTATTTGGTATATCAATATATAATATTGATGTTATTGTATATCAATATATAATATTGATATTATTATATTATCATGTATATCAATATTGATATTATATTATTATGGGCATTGCGCACAGTTGTTCTTTTCCAGACTTTAAAGAACTTCTCCATATATCACAACATCATATTCTGACTCCCTGTAAATGTGTTTTCACATATAAAGAACCTTTGTTTATGTGCAGAAAATTAATTGTAATGTTTGTCACGCTACTGTGGCCTCACCTTATCGTTTGCAATGAAGATTTGTGATTTATTCAATTTTGAATAAGTACTATATGAGGATGCTTACATATACTTGTGACTAACTGCGGCCCCGCTTATTCAATAGCAAGTTATTTAAAAATACCATTCAAACATTTGTTGTCTTGTATACTATAACATGAATTACCAAAGAAACAAAGTATTGAAAGAAATATTTTTTAATCATTTGATAAGCCAGGGATTCACAAGATAAAAGCAACCACATTTGTAATGTTACCAAATGATAGAAGTCGCCCTGGCGGAGCAGTGGTTAGAGCGATTGCTCTAGAGCTGCGGAGTAAAGAGTTGATCCTTACGTCGCGGGTTAGATCCACTGTGTTACGCGGAGACCGGTCCCTCGGATAAGACTGTATAAACTGAGATCGCGTATCGCAGTAGGCTATCGCAGTAGGCGCTGGCACGAAAAAAACTCCCCCACTGCTCAAAGCTACCGAGTATCTAAATTTGCAGCCATCCACATGTAAGTGGTGGCGTCTCAATATGAGTGAAAAATTATTGAAGGGATGTTAAAACAAACAAACAAACAAAACGAAATGATAAAGATCCTTGTGACAATTTTGAGAGAGATATTTTTATGTTGGCAATGGTTGATATGGCAACAATACCGAAAGGTGATTACTTATTTACTTTCTGTATGTTTTCATCTGTTTATATTATTTTACAGAGCACTTTTCTCTGAAAAGCAATTTTAGAGGCAAAAGAGCGGTCTAAATTTCCACGTTTCAAAAAGTTCAGAACATATTCTTAAAAATCCGTTGCTTTGATAAACATGTATTGAATAATTTTGAAAATATTCAGTTTCCTTAAATGCGTACACGTATACGTAAATTCCCAAAGCTGTCTTTATTCATAAATATAAAAATAACTACCCTGGCTTTCAGTTATGACCACCATACAATCTCTAACTGGATACAAGAAGATATCACATAAGGTTTGATATTGCTATAAAATTAGGAAAATTCAACATGTTCCGTCTTGGTAACCATAGAAACAATATCTTTTATTTTTTCATCAAACTCAATCTATATATATTATTTATCATTAATCGTGTAGATTAAAACAACTTTGAATGACTAAAATAGTATATATTTTGATGTGAAGGTGACTAAAAGCATAAAGTAGCAAGAAATAATTGCCTTTAATCCAATACTAAGTTACTCAAATGAAGCAATAACGTCCTTCTTTTCTATATTTTATTAACGAAATTACAACATGAATGATTACAACAATCAAGTTGTAATTTCGTTACAACATCAAGTTGTAATTTCAAATCAACTTGATGTTGACAAAACTTCTGAATTTCGTGTTCAACGATTTTAAATATTACTACAGTCAGGAATATATTGAGATAACGAACAGTATTCAAGCTCAAAAGTCCATTATACAATACAAAATAGGAGCAGAGCAAACACGGACCTCCAAACATCAGAGGTGGGATCAGGTGCCATGGAGGAGTGAGCATCCCCTGCCGACCGGTCACACCCGCCGTGTGCTCCTTGTCATGATCGGGAAATTACGGAGAAATCCGTCGACAATTCAGTGTGTAAATAATGGCCTAACAATTAGTATGAAAAACGTCAGTCAGCATTTGAGTCAATGATAAATTGTATTTGCCGACAAGGTCATTTATCGACCATAGAACTTACGAAATGATAACTTTAAACGAGACAGCTGATATTCTTGTTTCATCAACTTATTTGTCAATAATTTACCTCGTTTTAGAAATTGTACATACGTAGAGCATGCTCTTGCGTATCGAATCAACTGAGAGATATATACCCCATATGCAGGTGATGAAGGTATATTGCTGCATAAGTAAGGGAAGTTGACGATTGAAAAGTTAAAGTCATCACGTTTATCATAAAGCTTGGTTGTTAGATTACCATTAACGTCTTTTTCAAGTAAAATATCCAAATATGAAACAGATGTGTCAGACTCTGTGGTATCTTTTATCTCAAGTTCACCAGGATATATCGTATCGACATAAGAATGGAAATAGCTATTATTAATTGACAATACGTCGTCGATATATCTAAATGTCGAGTTGAACGCCACAGCAAGTGTTTTCTTCTCTTCACGTACAAGATTTTGGAAAAATTCTGCTTCATATGAATACAAAAAAATAATAACGGGGCGCAATTGGTACCCATAGAAATTCCAATAGATTGTTGGAAGACCTGGTCTCCAAAAACCACATAGATATTGTCAATCAGAAACTCAAGCATTTTTTTAATGTCAACTTCAGAGTACTTGTGTGTACAATCAGAATGTTTTTTAACGAAATAATTTTGCAAATGACCAATGACAAGGTAAGTATATTTACGAGTTCCATTTTTATTGAAAAAGCAGCTGTCAATGATATCAAAAAGCCTGGACTTTAATTTTCGTGGGGAATGGTTGTGTATAAAGTTGAAAAGTCGTAAGTTTTTAAGCTGTTGATTTCGGTAAAGTCTTGTGATTTTAAATTTTCCAAAAGTTCCTTGAAATTTTTAAGTATCCACATCTGATTTACACCACTTCTCGAATATATTGTTGCACAGTACTCTTGAAGTTTCTCCTTCACCACTGTTAATATCTTAGTGAAGAGTAAAGATAGAGGCTTGGTTGAACATTGGTTGAACATTTACTGGAACCCGCTATGTATCTTTGTTTGTAAGGATTTTTATGAAGTTTCGGAATCCAATATAAATATAGTGCAACAAAACTTTTTTTTTTTATAATTATCAATGAACTTCTCTTTCTCTTTGCCAAAACTAAATTGCAGAACATATTTGATACTATTTGTCGTAGTTGAAGTGTCATTATGTCTATCAACAAATTACAGACATTTTTGGACCTTTTACAGTCAATTCGTAGAGTAATTTTTATCGCTTAACATATACTTTAAATATATATTACATAAATACTTACATTTTAAAGTCAGAAAATATGAAAAATTTCCCGTAACTGATAAAAAATATCAAAACAACTACTCTACAAACTTTGAAGGAGCTTTTGTGTGTTATGATTTTTAAAACATTGTGTTTAATAAACAAAAACATATGGAAGTCAGGCGTGCAAAAAAAAAAAGGTTAAGTAGCGTCACGTCAAAATCTAGGGGTTATTTTGATAAGAAAACATATATCAAAATTCTCTTTTGGCTTAGATTTGAAAAATTGACTAAATGGACAAAAGAGTAATTTGTGGGGAATTTATTGTATCATATTTCTTTCATATTAAAACTTTTCAAACCATAATAGAGACAATTAATGTAAAATTGCAATCAAAAAATCAATTTTTTTTTCACATGCACAAAAGAAGAAATTTCATCAAGGTTTAGATCTTTCATTACCGTAAAACATGCTTATAGCGATGTTCAAGAAACGTAGTTCGTAGATCAGTTCATTTTACGATACATTTCAGAAACTAAGGGAACGGAAATTAATTCGTTAAAAGGGTGAGATCTTTCTATGCGTGTTCGTTATAAGCGTGTTTTACTGTCTGTTCCTGACATAGGTCTGAAGGATAAAAAAAATACAATTTCTTCTGATTATGTTTATTAGAAATTCTTTTAGGATGTATTATCATGTGTCTACTAGATATATCCCAGTGAATTTGAAATAAAAGACACCACATCTGCTTCATTTTCATTGAAATTTTACTAGAAAAAGACATTAAATGTAACTTAACAATAAAACTTATGAAAAAAGTGATGATATTCAACTTTTCGAGCGTCAACTTCCCTTACTTATGTAGCAATATATCCTCATCACCTGCATATGGGGTTTATGTCTCTCAGCTGATTCGATACGCAAGACCATGCTCTATGTACGATCAATTTTTAAAACAAAGCAAGCTATTAACCAACAAGTTGATGAAACAAGGATATCAACAGTCTTGTTTGAAGGGATCATTTCGCAAGTTCTATGGTCGATACAAGACCTTATTAGGAAAAACAATTCATCATTAGGTCAAATGCTGACTGAAGTTTTTAATACTGATTGTTGATTATTTACAAACTGAACTGTTGACGGATTTTTCCAAATACCCGATCATGACAAGGAGCACACGGCGGGTGTACGTGGCCTGTCGACAGAGAATTCTTACCCCTCCATGGCACCTGATCCTGCCTCTGATGTTTTTGGAGGTCCTTTTTTGCTCTGTTCCCGATTTGTATTGTTTACGTATTGTTATCTCCATATTTCATGTAGTAATTTTTTTCAAATGAAGTTCTTCTACACCGTTATAAAAATTCTGAAACTTTTTATGCATTTACCTATTCTATTGTCACTTCAGAAAGAGGGTGTTACAGAAACTCGTGATTATTCCCTAAATCGAGAAGGACAGTTAAATACCCACGACGCATGAAGAGTTTTCTCTAAATATAGATAATGCTATGTAGTTGACTTTATTTATACGACGGGTATGTCCAGCTTGTTATATCAAAACATTTCACATTTTACGTTTATTTCATGCATAGTTTTTTTCCTAACATAGACTGGCCACCTGTAAGTAAACTTTTCTTCACATCTATGGTCAATGTCGCCATATTGCACGAAAAAAGTTAGAACGATAAAAAGCACAATCAATGACAAGTGCACCTCGCACATCATTTTGAAAGATGTACTATAGACAGCTTGCGTTAATATTTTTCAATATATAAAATGTGTCCAATAATCACGCTGTTGATGCAATATCCAAGAAATTGCATTGAGTCATTTCAATTTAGTTGTTTCAAGTCAAATCTGAGCCACTAATTAACACAACAATAATAAAACGAAATGCGTATGAAGAAATTAAATTATTTAAAATGATAATACTTTATTTTTTAAGATATCGCCACTAAATAATAACATTAAATAATAAATATATGTCTTATTAGTTTTAGATCACAATATGAAGGAAAACAATTTAATTCTGCATGCATATAAAATATCATCCATTAATTTTTTGACAGTCTCTCCCTCTCTTTTTCTCTCTTAAGAGAGGTGTTACATTGTACTTCCATCATATAAGGAAAAAAATGTTTATATATATATATATATATATATATATATATATATATATATATATATATATATATATATATATATACCATCCATTCCAGGATTCGAACCCATTCTCAGGTAAAAGAATCTTTGCATAGAGTCCACACGCTTTACCGCTAGACCAGCTCCGACACTGAATTAACATTTCCTATTTTATGTGCAACATTTTGCATTTCGGATGGATAATAATTTTTATTCGATTTTTGTGATTTTCAAAAATATGCCTCTTTGAAACAAAAATCGGAAATGGCAGTTTTGAAGAAAAATCCTGTCTCTTTATGCTTATATGAAATTCATTCTGTTTCAAGGAGGCAGTTTTTCAGAACAATGGGGATTCCCTATGTGAAAAACAGAAAACTTGACTTATTTTGCTATGTGACTAATTTACACTTCATTTAATGGCAAATTGGAAGTCGATATGCAGTTTCTAAATATTGTTCTACATTGTGCTGTATATACCGTTGTATCTGAAAAAAATTAAGACCGTTTTCTGTTATACTTTAAATTTTTCTTTTAAACTGCTACAACTTTAGGGAAAATAACAAAGAACTGCAACACCCTCTTTTAAGTAGAATGTATATACAGTATATTCTTATAATTGAAAAAAAAATGAATACATTGTATATGCATTTTTAAGTTAATTTGTATGAATGCAAGTTGAAAATGTCATTTTGAATGACTTAATTTTTATTTTCAGTGACACAGGCAGCTTGCCTCCTGAAAGCTGTGTATTTGGACAACTCTTAAACATAGGAGCAGTCATCGGTAATAGAATTCAAAACAAACTACGGTATATTGGTGGAGTTTGGAAATTACGGGAAAACATGAATTAAATTAAATTTGCCATTATTCCTGAATTTTGAACTCTAAAAAATGATTCTGTTCAATACAATTTCTTTTCAGTCTCAGCTGTATTCTATATACGATATAAGCAGGTAGAAACTTATCAGCGTGATTGTCCAGTGAGGAGCATAACAAACGTTAATAGAGTAGCACTGGCATTGGGCTTGATGGCTGCATTTGGAATAAGTCTGGTTGGAAACTTTCAGGTAAACTATGGAAAACTTGGAGAAAACATGTACTCTCAATTTCCCGTGCCTCTCTTACAATTAAACCGGTCACGGTAGGGCGTTCGCTTCGTGATCGGGAGCCCAGGTTCGATTCTTTTTTGCCGCGCCGCGTCAAACATAGGTAGTGACTGTTCCTTCGCCAATTGCAAGCGCCCGGCATTAGAATTGAAAGTCACGGGTTTTTCGGATGAGACCTTAAAAACCGAGGTCCCATGTCAGGGTAGGCGTTGGCACGATATAGAACCCTCACTACTCAAAGGCCCTGAGTGCCGAGTATAGGTCCAAATTTGAAGCCCTTCATCGGCATACGGTGACGTCTCTTTATGAGTGAAAAATTCTCGAATGGCACGTTATACAACGTACAATTAATCAATCTATTTCTCTTACAATTAAACTCTCCTCCACTTAAGATATTTATGTCGCATAATTTTGTTTTTAATTTTAGGATGAGAATGTTGTCGTTGTACATTTGATTGGTGCCTTCCTAGCCTTTGTGATTGGAGCTTTTTACTGTTGTCTTCAAACTTATCTTTCTTTCAAACTACCTGATATCCCAGGATCCTCCAGAAAACTAATTTTAGCCAGATTAATAATTTGTGTTTTAGATTTTAGTTTTATGATAACTAGTATCCTTTGTTCATAGGAAAAAACACTAAGCACTATATAAGCCATACGAAGACTCGTACGCATTATAATTCTCTCTGTTGCTCCCTTCGGAAAAAAAACTCAATGTCATAATTGTTTTCTTGACAATAATTCAGTTTTGATAGCATCAAGGTTAGCAAATGAAGACAAACCAAAAGATCTGAAGCCTCGATGCTGGACATCAGATAAACCGGTACGTAAACCATTCCATACTTTCGAAATAAAGTATATATCGGAGGATCTCCGAGTCCATGAGATTGTCAGTTGCAATGTGCACTTTACACTCATACGTTCTCAGCTTTTTGCTGTAGTGTAGGTCCACTTCATGCTTACAATTAATTACCAAACATATTATAATACATCGTTTACGGTTATTTGGTTTTTCAGTTGTGTTAATCTGCATATATTTCATCTCATTATTATTAAAACATCACTTCCTAAAGGAGTTTGGGTGTATTGTTGTTATTATAGTTCAAAAACCTGGTTCCCAGAATCCTTTTTTTATTTTATGCAATTATTCTATACAATAATTAATTTATACATGTTCAAGGAGGAAATTCTTCAAAATCATGTCAATTATGAATATTTTTAATTATTCCAACAACCAAATTTGAATTACCATACCTATACTCGATTCCTTAACTTCATAAAAATCCTTATAAACAAAAAAATACAGCGCGTTCTAGTAAATGTTCTACCAAGCCTCTTTCTTTACTCTTCACTAAAATATTTACAGCAGTGAAGGAAAAGCTTCAGTATTACTGTACAACAATATATTCGAGAAGTGGTGTATATCAGATGTGGATACTTAAAAACTCCAAAGAACTTCAAGAAAAATTGAAATCACAGAATTTGAACAAAATCAATAACACCAAAACATACGGCTTTTCAACACTTTATACAACCATTCCGCATGATTATTAAAGTCCTGGCTTATTGACATCATAGACAGCTGTTTTTCAATAAATACAGAAGTTGTAAAATTACTTACCTTGTCCTTGGTCATTTGCAAATTATATTTGTGAAAACAAATTCTGATTGTACTGACAAGTACTTCGAAATTGATTTTAAAAAGATGCTTGATTTCTGATTGACAATATTTATGCAGTTTTTGGAGATCAAGTCTTCGAACAATCTGTCGGAATACCAACGGGTACTAATTGCGCTCCGTTATTAGCAGATCTATTTCTATATTCATATGAAGCAGAATTTTTTTTCAAAAACTTCTACATGAAAAGAAGTCTCCTGCTGTGGATATATCAACAACGTTTTATCAATTAACTATATTCATTTTCATGCTTAAGTTCATTTTAAATATCCTTTTGAGCTCGAAAAAAGAAATACCACAGTCTAACACATCTGTTTAATATTTGGAAATTTTACTAGAATAGGACATTAAATGTAACCTTACAACAAAACTTCATGATAAACACGATGATCAACTTTTCTATCGTAAATTTCCTTATTTATATGGAGATAACGAATAGTATTCAAGCTCAAAAGTCCATTAAACAATACAAAATAGGAGCAGAGCAAACATGGACCTCCAAACATCAGAGGTGGGATCAGGTGCCATGGAGGAGTGAGCATCCCCTGCCGACCGGTCACACCCGCCGTGTGCTCCTTGTCATGATCGGGAAATAACGGAAAAATCCGTCGACAATTCAGTGTGTAAATAATGGCCTAACAATTAGTATGAAAAACGTCAGTCAGCATTTATCACCTGCAAATGCAGTTTGTTTCCCAGTTGATTCGATACGCAAGAGCATGCTCCACGTACGAACAATATCTCAATTAAACAAGGTTATTTATTAACAAACAAGTTGATGAAACAAGAATAGCAACAGTCTCGTTAAAAGTCAACATTTCGCAATGCTATGGTCGATACAATGACCTTGTCAATAAATACAATCTATCATTAAGTTGAATGTTGACTGGCGTTTTGAAGTTTTCCATACTAATTGTTAGGCCATTATTTTCGCACTAAATTCTCGTCGGATTTTTCCATTTTCCCATTCATGACAAGGAGCACACGACGGGTGTGACCGGTCGACAGGGGATGCTTACTCCTCCATGACACATGATCCCACCTCTGATGTTTTTAGAGGTCGTGCATGCTCTGCTCCCGATTTGTATTGTTTCAATGGACTTATGAGCTTTATAACTGTGCGTTATCTTCATATTTCATCAATTTACAATAGTCTCATTCATACGTTGATTCGATACATTTTTTTGAACTGGAAACAAAAAAACACCACAGAGTCTGACACTTCTGTATCATATTTGGAACTGCTAGCATAACGAAGTACTAGTATTTATCTTTTTTCTTTTTTTTTTTTTGTTTGCAGGGTTATGCTGCTCATCTGACATCAACAATATCAGAGTGGATCATTGCGTTTTTAACTTGTTTGTATGTGGCCACGTTTACTCCCGAGTTTAAACATTTTGAACTGATCAAACCTAAGATAATTTTCCGAGAAATTACAAGAAATGGCGTGGTTCCTGAATTAGAATCAAACAAGGAACCCAAAGCAGTGACTATGAGAGCTGATGAAGCAAGTGTAAAATATTGAAGATACAAAACATGATAAGCCTAACTGTGATAAAAATTTTCGTATAAAAACATACAAATGTTTGTCAATCCCAAAGTTATTCTGTAATTGCAATGTCTATTCTGAAAAGTCTACCATTATTGTTTGATTTTTAACTATAAATGTCTAAGAACCTTATTCTTCAATGAGATCACAACAGTTTCCAATATCCTGAGATTAAACTCATTATCTGGAATATACATTAATCATTATTCGAGTACAAATTTGTTATTCCTGTTTGTTGTACTACTTGTCTCTCATAAAATCATGTTCCAGCTCAAATTCAAGTCTTTCAGTTAGTCTTAAATGGATTACGATTTTACAAAGTATATTGCGCTCTGTCCCAAAAGTGTGTCATAATCATGACCTAAGGTTGTATCTCAATGTTAGAATCAATGGCCAATGGAATAGTGAACTTTGCTCTGGCTGTTACTATGCAAACCTTGATTTGAACACATTCAAATTTGAGTATACAATTTATTCCTTGTGATCTAAAGGGCGCCATGACCATTACTCACAGTCAATTACGAAAATCATTGTCATAAAGAGGTGATTGAAGTCTGAGGAAGGGGAAACATTTTTTGTCATTAAGCAATGTATAGTTGTTTCTTCTTTTTGAACATCTGTGTTTACAATATAGAGTAGATACATATTCAATACTTACTTCCTGATTATTTATATGATAGGAAGACACTATAAATTGGTATGTGGTGTACAGTGCACATCTGATATCTTCTATAGCAGAGTGGATTGGATTGCGTTTTAGCACACAAATAAGTGATATATATTTAATCCAGAATTGAGATGTTTTAAAGTCTAAACCAAACATAATTAATGAGCAAAATAGCTTAAAATCACCGTGGTTCCTGGTAAAATGGAACCGGTTCAGGAAACGTAAACGCTGACAACAAAGAGGATCAGAGATATATAAAACAGGGAATTAGTTATCTTCTGTAGATACTTTTATCTAATAAAGAATTAACACCTTGTGTGTTTGAGAAAGCGGTTAGTTTTCCTATTATGAATGTAGCTTGATTTAAACTCATACCTTAAAAGTCAAGTCAAGGACATTAGGCAGTGATTTCTAATGCAATGGAGGGTGGAGTTATATATCTGGAACCTGTACCTGAAATGAATTCAAAGAAAATGGAAGCACAAGGAGTGCAAAATTACTATAGATACAAATCTAAAAAAATCAAATTCAATTTGTGAACTAAAAAAAATTTAGAGCAAAGTTCTAATCATTAAAAGGTTTGATATTATGATAAGCAAAACTTTTCTGTGGAAAAATTCTCTCGGCAAAAAAATTCTATGGTAAAAAAAAATAATAAAGATTCCTTAGGATTTGAACCCAAGCGATGAAAATCTGTCAGTCAGTTCTTAAGATACATGATTCTGTGTATCATTTTTTGTAGATCAATATCAATATACATGTACATAATGCTTTTATCTTTTTTTTTTCAATTTTGACCAACGCTGTTGCCATGGTTACTAAAAATATATATTTATGTTTAATTATTGTAAACCAACTATTATTCGCGTCATCTTTTATATATATTCGCGAATCTTCAGTTTGAAATCAATCCGCGACAATTAATTTTCGCGACTGAGGAAAATTCTCTACCCATACAAAGCAAAATAATTGATATTCGAAAGTTAAAATAGGTCGCATAACTTGCGAATATTTCTCGCACGCGAATAAAAGTTGGTTTACAGTATTTCAAAACAGTACTTCTTCAGTTTTTCGTCCGGTTTCAAAACCTGGCATACAAGTAAACTACACTTTATACAACATTCTTTGTATCAGTGAAATTCCTTCAAAACGCTTCTCCTCTACCAGTTTTGGTCCGACTTCAATGAAACCAGTATTGTCATAGATATTAAAAAAAGAATATGAGAAAAATTTTTCTTATACAGATTTAATTTTATTGCAACAAAGTTTGGTAGCAATTTAGAAAATATCAAGTCTAGATATAATTCTGTAAATGTAAAGCTATTAAAAAATTCAGGTCCAAGTGCTACCTTTCTCTGTCTTTATAAGTGCAAACCAGAAGCGTTACAATGATAAGAGAAAACTAGATACTCGTTGCGAGCAACGAGAGGTCTTCCGTCCGAATAACCATCCTTAACTGTGATATTCTTTGCACGTAAAATTACATTTATATCTGCTCGTTGTAAAGACACCTAAAAGATTTTTTATTTATAAAAAAAAAATAAATAAATAAAAAGAGCACAGAATTCACAAAGAGAAAAACAAAGTTCAACATCATTGATAAAGATGAAAACGTAAATTTAAGCAAAAAATTCAGATATAGTCAGGATTAAACCAAGATCGGCTGCCCGAAAAGAGCTAGGTTCACTTTATGCATAAAATAGCCCTGTAGATATACCAATTTATTACATTTTCAACAGTGAAATACTGTGATTTATTTATTGAATAAAAATGATATTCTCTCACAGTGTGAAAGGATACCAAAATGATATTCTCTCACAGTGTGAAAGGATATCAAAGTAAGTAAAAAATAATTTTTGGCCTGTCATAAGACAGAGATAATAACTGAGCATCATGATAGAGCTAAAACTGCAAATTTCTTCCCAAATATGTTGCTAAAAGCCATGCTATGCAAAGTTTTCAATCTCAGAACTGATAAGCTGTGACGTCTCAACCGCTCAACTATGACGTCAAGCCTATATGACACTGTGTTAAGAAAAGACAGAGCGTAGGGAAAATCAAAAAATGTAATAAACAGAAAATTCAATGTTTTGTAGATGAATATGGAATTTATTTCACTCGTGAGACAGGATATTTTGATATTTTTCACTCGTGCGAAAATATCAAAAAATCCTGTCCCACTCGTGAAATAAATTCCGTATTCATCGACAAAACATTGAATATCCTCTATTTATTGACTAACACTTTATGTTCCATTTTAAACAACAAGATAAAGTAGAGACTTAGTGTTTTCATTTCCTATTGAAAATTGTTTCCTTATAGCCAAGGTCTTGGAAAACAGGTCTCCTGAAATTTCAATGTTCTTGAATTTTAATGAAAATAAGTATATTTGAGTACTTTCACAGAAGAGAAATAATATGAGCACATCCTCTGATCTAAAAAAATAAAACAGGTTTTGTAATCATCAGAAATAGTTCTATCATTTTATAGTTGCGTATTTAAGATCAGAGGTTACGCTCTATATTAAATATCGAAAAATCGCTTTAAAAATTGGCTGTTTTGTAGAATTTTTCACGATATGAGGAAAATGACGCATTACATGGCGTCATAATGCATTGGCTAGCCAGAAAATTACGTCATTTTTGATAGATACGCAGTCATCAAAGGTCTAAATGATATTTAATGCATTAACTAAAACCAAGCAGTTTCAGTTTTTCTGAAATTCACAGGGCCAAAAAAGGCCCTAAGTGAACCTTGTTGTTTAATATTGAAACCACTACACTAGCGCAATGTACCAGCCATCACCGATGTTTACCTTGCACTCATTCCCTGAAGTAACAAGTGTCAGGCAGGTTAATCTTTTTTTCTTATAGTGTGGAATTATAGGATGAAAAATAGCCAGCTAAATTTTGTGCAAGTACATATGTACTAGTAGATTTACATCGGATTTGTTACTTGAGTTTTAACAATAACTGATAGCAGAGAAAATAATCTGTCACTGAAAAAAACTATAAAAAAAACTATTGTGTTTACTTCCTTTATTCTTTATGCATTCAACTTTCTATTCTATGCAATTCCAAATTCAGACATGTCCGTGTAATCTTTTTCTGTACTTCTACACTACTGCTTCAGACCATTTGTGAAAGGCGGGTCAAGATAATTATTTCGCGCCAAATGTCACGAGTAAATCTTCGCGCCTTTTCTTTGGAATGTGTCTTCAATTGAATAAGTGTACGCGATAGCTTCAATGAAATTTTTAAAAAGATATGTTGCTATAGCCTGATTTTCTAGCCTAAGAATGTATATTTATCACACTGTACATATAACATACCGTATACGGACAAGTAACATAAATGCAGCGCTAAGTTTTCTTACACATTTTATATTCCTCTTTACCCCCAAAGTGGATTATTCCAATTAGTAACACATTAATGAAAAGACTGGAATGTTTCGCAACAAAACACGTCTCGCCATATGACGCTCAAGGAATCTGATACCTATTATGTTCAGTAACTTGCATCTAAAAAGGAATATTGCCCTACTAAAATCAAAGAAAAATATCATTGAAGTTTATTTCTCTCTCATTTGAAATTGCTATATGTTATTCGATCAACATGAGAAAGTAACAAATTCTACTTTCAAAATACAATTCGGCAACTCTCCAATTTATGATACAATTGCATAGGTATCTAGCTACATATACATCTGTACCAACATGTTTTCCTCATTTTGTCATATCACAATTGCATCTATGCACATTAATTAGTGCAAAATTCAACTGCAAACTCTTAATGAGGGAGTAAAAAGACACGCTGATATTGTGCCGTCAAACACCGCTGCTCTGACGTCGAACGACATAGCGCCCCCCCCCCCCCCCTTAAAGATAAAATCTTATATTTGAGCCCCAAAAAGTGAGAAAAAATTCGGACATTCTCGGACATTCTTTGGAATGAATCCAGATCGCCCACATGAAAATTCAACATGCTAACCATTACGCTATCAAACATTATCGCTTAAAATTGAAAAATGATAAATATTTAGAGTATGGGTTAATCAATTTTCAAACAAACTACATATTTAGCATTCTTGTAAGACTCTTTATTTAGCCTTTCAACATCATAAAAAAATAATGAAAAACAAAAAAGTTCAAAAAATTACCCTTTTTAAATCACTTCCTGTGACGACAGGAAGTGAGGACGACACACGAAATGTTTCCATCACACATCTACAAACCAAATTCTATCTTACCTGAAAGTTTCAGACTCCTACCTTTAACAGTTTCTGAAAACATTCACGGACTAGATTTTTAGTGGAAAAAGTGAGAAATCGTAACAATTCCCGACCGGAAGTAACTTTTTCCGAACTTTTTCAATATTTCAAAATGGCATGAGATAACACATCATTCCTGAAAATTTGGCTGAAAATGAATGAGTAGTTTTTGAGATATCGCGATTTGAAAAGGTCAAAAAAATAAAAATGAAAAATA